TGTATGAAATAGCTACAAAAAACATATATTCATTAATTTCGTATTTATCAAAGATACACCCACCCATCATACATCTACATCCTCAACTGTTTTGAAGCAAAATTCAAAATAAAACGTTTTCTCTCTTTGTAAAGACATAATCACAGACTGAGTTTATTTATTTGCTATTACTCTGTTAAAATTATTTCAAAAATTATCGAACTATTCAAAACAAAATTCCTATTTTTTTAAATGATTACATACGATTTAAATATGGTGCAGTCGTAGAACTTAGTCCAGAAGCAGTTGTTGTTAGAGAAACTGATTGAGTATTATTCATTGAAGTTACTATTAAAAACAAATATAAACTATTAGTAAAACATAAGTCAATAAGAAATTGTTTGAAAATACCAGTAGCCACAGTTGTTACTGTTGTTGTTTCATCTATAAATAAAAATACGATTTTATATTATAATATGAGAGAACTAGTATTTGCTTACTACAAAAATTTGATGACAAAAGAAATTTTTGAATTCTATGATTATACTGATCAGTAACGAATATATTTCCATAACTGTCAAAACTCATGCTTTGTGGGTAATATAATTGGCTGGATGTTGAACCATATCCGAAACATGCCGCTATACATCGAAAACCGTTAGGTCCTGAACCAATAAGACGATGGTTGTGATTGTCAACAATAAAAACATATCCATTACCATCGAGTGTAACTCCAGTTGGAAGATAGAGTGCGATGGCTCCTGTTGATATTGTTGTTCCATTCAATTGTCCTGATGCAAATTTTTGAATCCGACTATTTGAATAATCAGCCACATACAAGTTCAAGTTATTATCGACAAAGATTGCACAAGGACTATTAAGTGTAGTCGACGTTGACCCAGCTGTATTACTTACACCGGCGACAGTACTCCATACATTTAAATTTTGGATCAATGATTTGTAGATAACTTGATGATAAGCATACATTGAACAGTAAAGCATATTGTTAATATCCACAAAAATACCATAGCATTGCGAACATACATACATTGCTGGAACACTATTTGTCGTATTCCATGCCCATTTGTCAATTCGGTAATTTGCATAGGAATTATCGACATAAACATCATCATTGTCGGTGACGAAGAGAGGATAAGGTCCGTTTAAGCCACCTGAAATATTTCGATTAGGTGTAGTACTCCCATTAAGCCATATCATGATCCTGTTGTCTGAGCGATCAGCTACGTAGATAGTGTTGTTTGTATCGACAAAGATACCCAGAGGATATGTACCGATCAATGCACTTGTGGCAAAAGTTAGAGCCGTCTGATTCCACGTTGCATTTGCACAAAATGTTGGTAGATTGTACGAAATACCTGAAAAAAAAATAATAAAAATATAGCTATGACTGAGATAGTAATAATTATCCGAAATTTAAGCCAAGTATTTCACACTCGGATCCGTAGTACTGAAGTTATGCTATTTGATCTACTGGAAGATTCACCGTATTTCCTCTCATCTCTCCAAATAATAGAAAATTTCAAAGCTTTCGGAGCGGACTTCTTACAGATTGCACAATTAGGGATGCAACGTTGACGATCAGTAATCGCTTTACCAGCCGACTCGACTAAGCGAAAGCCGTCTGAAGTGAATTACTAGTGTAAACTGATATTTATCAATATGTAAAGAGATTCACCTATATTCACACCCTCAAGTGACTCCTTCGATTTAAAAAATTCTATAATAAAGTATTAAAATTTAAAGTAATATATTTTGACGCTTTATCTTACGAAAAACAAAGTTGAAGTATATATATTAAGGTTGTGGATGTGAATGTCATATTCATTACAATCTCACATCCAGTGATCGAGATTTCTTTCAACTAGTACAGTTCAAGAGAATATATTTTAAAATCTTGATATTGGCCTCTCGGATCAATACTTCTAGTTAAAATGCGATAGAAAAATCTAGTACATGATCGAATTTTAGGTTTATATATATATATATATATCCTATCTGGTTTAGTTATATGCACTAATAATCATACGTTGTGGCTCAATCGGGTAAACTCACTGCCATAAAACCTTGAATATTATTCTTAATATTTTTTGTACTTTCGGCTCGTTTGGGGATGTACCGAGCCTCTTGGGCTGGGGCCTCGGGCTCGGTCAGGGCTCGGGTGTCAGAATGGGTATGAGAGTATGTGGGTTGGTGTGGATGAGAGTGTGGATAAGAAGGTGCGTAAGAGTGTGGGTGAAAATGGGAGTGAGTGTGAGAAGGATAGAATCCGCAATCACCACACCCACAGTGACACTCTCACATTCATTTTGACACCTGAGCCCTAACCGAGTCCGAGTCCGAGCCTAACCCAGCGTAGTTATTTTGAGCCCTCACTTGGAAACGTTACCTAGTATTGCTGTGGGTGAGAGCCCGTATGTGGTTGTGAATGAGTGACGGAAACGATAAATCTCACATTCACGTATACTCGACGTATTACCACAAGATAACGAAGTGAAAGCGTAAGGCCATTAGGAATAAATTTTTAAGGCTTTGTAATTAATTGTGAGCTAATAGGATTGCGCTACATCTTATGGCTAGCACTCATTATATGCAGAAAATATTGGTTTCTGAATCTTTTCATTTTGTCGGCCCAAAAAGAAGGTGAGGACTCTTATAATAAGCATGTTGTGAAGTTTATCGCACTCTTACCTAATATTTGTCCAATAATTGACAGTAACAACCATACATTGACAAAAACAAATAACGTCATGTTGAATGTCTAAAGAATAAATTCAGATGATATAGAATAGTCTAAACATGATAGTTAATGGATAAAATCGATCAACTTTATAGCATTCAGTGAGTTTTCGTTCATAGTATATCCTGACTTATAACACTTTTATGATAATCTTTTTTAAACATTCCTATACGCCTCTCTGATGAAGTATTGTGAGATGCAATTAGTTATAAAACAATGTAATGTTTAAAAGTGTATTATTGTGATTTTCTAGACGACTACATCTTCCCTAAAATAAAAGTATTTGAAAAATATGGATGAGTGTTATGCGATAACACACAGCGAGTTCTAAAGAATCTCATCTACTATCATCGACTTAATAATAGAATGGTTCTATATATTTGATTAACTCTTAACAACGTCTATTTTTAGGCATCTTGTATGTATATAAATCAATCGCTATCATTGTATATTACGTAACACAATAATGTTTATGATCCTTAAAAATTTCCCACTGACACGCTTCATTATCGTTAATATTAGAGTATTACAACTCGATCATAGGTGCGTTCAAATTTAGATTGACCCTTATTGGATCGTATCGAGCGTGAATATAGCTGTCATTGAATTTCATTTCGAACACCTCGAGTTATCTGATTACATTTTTTTTGATAATGTATTCGTATCTCTTTGTTATTGTCAACATTAAATACAAATATTGGTGGTGAAGTAAGAGATACCTACACTTCTGCCTACCAGAATCTTTTTAAAATGCCTACAGAGATCTGATAATGTCTGATACTTGAAAATTCATGGGGCTCAGCTATATTTCATGAGCAGTTTTTAACACTTTTTGGTATGCACTATCAATTACATCAATTAGTGCATGTTTAGAACGTCACCAATCTGTATTAGTGCTCGCCTATTCTCTAGTAATTTTTATTTGTAAAATTATTTTTCTAGTACTTGTGTTATGCTTACATTCTGAGTTCGATTATACAGATTAAAAATAATACGGTTATTTAAAAATATTGTCATTTTTTATCGTATACACTGTAAATATAAAGCTGTTTCGTTCGATCTGAGAATATTTTCTATTTCTATTTTGTTATTACTACTATTTAGTCCTAAATTGCACAACAAATTTTTTTAATAAATTAAATTACATTTCATTTGAAGAAAAAAAATGGCAAAAAACGATTTTGTTAGATAATATATAGTTTAATTAATTGTTCAAA